GCGTTCTTCTATGGTTACAAGCCTAACATCATAACAATAGCAAAGCCCTTTTTGATGCTATATAGAACCCTTTTCAAAGAGGTTCTATGTAGAGCCATCTATAGTACATTCTCCATCAATCTAAAAAACAATTTCATGCAGCAAAGAACCCTTTAGTCATGCAAAGGGCTCTTTGAGTGTTCATGGTTCTATACAGAACCATGTTTTTGGTTTTTGGTCTGAAGTCCCCTATTTTTTAAGTGTGTAGAAACTAGTGACCTGGTAGTGACCTACCAGGTCATCAAGGATCTTGAATATTTATTAGTATTATTTGTAATTGTAAACTTTCTGTTGTTAATTTCCTGATTTAAGTGAAGAAAAAAATCCCAGATTTTCAATCCAGTCTCAGACTTTTGAACACCACTATGTTATACAGCTGAATCTATTATTCTCATCTCATCATAATATTATTATTATTATACCTATATTATAATTTATAGCTTCCCTCATGTGGTTTGAAACCTATGGAAATTTAGCATCGTACTAGAATCATTTTAAACCTGCAACAAAATGATTTATTTCATGCTATTGAAAACGATTTTATGTTTTCACATAAAATGTCATATGATTTTATGAAGCCTTAATTGATGATGTTTCATGAACATGAGAATGGCTCTGCAGCCACCCACTGCCCACCACTATCAGAAATGAATCATCAAATGACCACACTGATTCACAGACGACCCAGACTCAGGATCTGCACAAACTATACACAAAACCACCCCCACACACACGCTGACAGGAAAGCGCTCTGGTCTCGTACACAGTCCCACATAAACACTCAGACACACAAGCGCTCATGCAGTTGTGTACTGCATGTAAACAAACCAACCACGCTGACGCTTTACACTCACATTGTACACAGTTTTTCTTCATTTCACTGCTGGAGGTGGACAGTGGATGGTGGCGCATGAGGCGTGTCTGCATGAACACTAGATGGGATGAAGAGGAAGTCATAAAAAGGGGCTAAAAGTCTGCTTTACGATTTAATGTGACAACCAGAGTACACAAGCCACTCATTAGGGAAAGCCCCTGCTGTGTTGGGACTATTTGGGCCAATGCGACAGACGTGTGTGGAGAGGGTCACTGCTTTCCCATGTCCAGCAGCAAGCTAAGCATGAGAAGGTGAAGGGGCGTATACCTTTCACTGATGTTCCAAGACAGACATAAGCAAGACGACTGTGAATAATATGTTAATTACTCAAATAAAATTGAGGAAACAATTAATCAGTAAATTCGCCTCCAGTCTGTAGTTTAGCAGAGTCAGTTACTGTCAGCAGTACAAAATGGTATTCAGCCTGGACCGTTTCCTGCTTTGTCTATGGGGTTGCAGTATGAAAACAGTGAGAAAATAGAAAGCTGTTCCTTTAAAAAATGAATGCATTACATTACAACTTGTAAAATCATTTGAATGCTTACATGTCAATCAAACTTTATTTAAACTTAGAGTACATTGAGGATGACCCTCATTTACAGCGTAGCAGAACCAATACAGGAATCAGGGATTCAAAAAAGTTGATTGTAAAACTATATCAATTCTTAAACAATTAACATAATCATAGTAAATTTAATAGTAAGGGATCAAATCAAATCAGAGTAAACGATTAAAATTGCAAGAATAAAAACAGATCAAAGTAAAAGAAATAATTGTTAAAAAAAAGTAGAAAATGTGAAAAAATAACTCAACAGTAACTAAAAAGTGGAAGTTGATGAAAATAAAATAAATAAAAAGAATAATAAATGTAAAAGAATAACATTACCAGTCAAATGTGTGTATGTTTTTATAATCTTAAAGACATATTGATCTACAGCCTTGTGCTTAGACGCATATGACAACAAATATTGTTCCCTAAACAAATATAAATAGTGCAGGTGCAGTACTTCTCCAACAGGCTTGAAGAACTTTCATAAGAGGTGAGATGTTATCGGCTGCTGATGACTCATCAAAAAAAAAACCAAAAAAAACCAAACAAAACAAACAACAAAAAATATATACATATATATATATATATATATATATATATATATATATATATGTATATATATATATATATATATATATATATATATAAATGCTTGTCTATTAACTGTGTACTGAATGCGGTAAACAAGCTTGTTAGATGGACTTTCGAGCGAAAACTCAACAAACTGCTTCTTCGCAAACACTGAAGTTCCTGCTAAATCCTGAGTAGACTGATAAACCAAAGTGACGCACCGGTTGACACGTTTGGTAAGAAAGTCAGTAACTGTGACTCTTGCCTATTTGGAAACAACTGGAGCTTCACAAGCAACTGAAGAGCATTCTTTTACATTTTATGTGAATGTTTTACATACATATCAAAATAATACACAGTTCACAGCTTTTGACTGTGACACTAAATGTTTAGTATTACTGAAAGAAATAAATGGTCAAGCGCCCACACAAATGATAAGAGGCAAGTACTTTGTCTCTGTCTCTCTCCCTCTCTCTCTCTCTCTCTCTCTCTGGCCACTCCTGCACCATATGGAGTCTATCAGGAGCCAGAGGAGTGGGGAGTTCTGTAGATAATAGGATGTTTATCCTGTGTTTGTGCACACTGCAGCCCAGCTGTCATCTGATAGATGGCTGAGCGATTGTCAGAAGAAATACCTCGCTGTAGACATGAAAGTCATCCACAGCTTTGAACAATATGCACTTCCTCTTCTGACGCTTTCCCCCTCCCCAGCGTCCTCCAACATGGTGGGCTTTTTTTGCAGTGTGTGTGGGGTCTTTGTGCAAGCCCTCACTCTCTTTTTCTCTTTCTTGCTCTCTCTCTCTCTCTGCTTGGCTTTTCTCCTCTCTAAGCAGTGGCCCACAGGCTAGCAGTGCCCGAGGCTAAATTAGTCACACTCCGATGAGACATAGCTGAACAATTGAGAAGGAGGGATTGGCCTCCTCAGGATTCTGGGGCTAGTCTTGACATGCTCGAGGAACCCTTTGAATCACACACCTTTTCAACTCTTAGAATGGAGTGTCAAGCCCCTTCACGTCCTTCAGATAGCCCCGCTGAGGGTAGCACATCACAACACAATGGCGTAGTGGATAATGGCTCAAGTTCCTGGTTTAAATTTTCATGGGGCATCAGGAAATATCAATATACTAGCAGTGGGCTTTGGGTAGTGGCTTTCCCCTTACCACTGTCCTTGAGAGAGATAAATACACCCAAGTGGCTTCAAGTGGTCTGGACAAAACAGATTTGAAAATTTCAGAGCCTATTCTTCATTTAAAGACTTGCTTTCAGTTTTCAAAGAAACCCACAGGGATATTGTTTTACATCTCCAAAGTTACGTCTTAGAAGTTGGTTGTGTTTTCTGCTTCTCACCTTCTGCTCTTTGTTAGATTTACAAGTTTTATTCTTTCTTTTCTACCATTCCTTTTCTTGGTAAGCGTTTCTTGTCAGACTTATCGTGTTGAGTTGTCTTCTCACAGTGGAAGGATGGACAGAAACACCTGTGGAGTTTTTTTACATCTTAAGCAGGAGTGGAGCTTGATTTTCTCGTCCCTCTGAGGGACAAAAGCTTTAAATGGAGTTATGAAATAACTGAAATTTGGGAGGAGGACCAGGCGTGAAACCACTCCTCCTTCCAATCTATGCCCTATTAATTTCCATCCCAATCATCCGTTTCTTGTGACAAAGCTTTCACAATCCCACAACCACCACCCCTTCTCCTCCCTGTTCCTCAGTCCAGACTTAAAAAGGAGGGGTCTGGCCTTCTAGCTCCAGGCAGAAGCCACCAAGAACTCCAGCCCAAGTTCTCAAAGTTCTCTTCCCTCCCTACTACCACCATATGATGAAGGCACGGTCTAAACTCGCAAAGTATTGATTATCTGACGATGACAATTTTGGTGGTCTATCAGGTCTTGGGTGATTGTTATAAGTCCCATTTTCTTTGTATCTTTTAATAATTTTTTGGTTTTAGAAATTCCTTTTTATTCCTACTTATTTTCCTTTGACTTTCCTGTTTCGTGTAATCGTATATCTAGTGACATTATTCCAATCATAGAGAGTAAACATTACTGCGCCCTTTAAAAATGTGACCAGTACTGTTTTGAGTATTTATTAGTTTATGCAAAACAGAATCAATTACGTAAATATTCCACACTTAAAGCTACTGACGTACTTGCAATTTCACGTTTTCAATAGAGAACAGATTTCTTACAGCTGTCCTCAGCTCTTTTGTCATAACTCCCACTTCTGGCCTTTATGCACAAGTTATAGCTTGTAGTCAGCACCAACAGTCATTTGAGTCAACTGAATGAGAGGTAAATGAGTCATTCATATATGACCCTACCCTTTTATTTAACGAGCTCACCGTGGATGGCCTGAGGTAGAGTAGCGTTATGACTCAGCCTCTTCCAGGTTGGCTTTTGGATTTGCTTCAGTGAAAGTAAAACCTGCCAAGTGGCAATATTCACTGTTTATTACATCAATGTCACCATTCTGATAAACAACTGCTCTGTTATCTCGTTGCTATGAACACTGTTCAGTTAGCAAACATCACCGTTAATGCACCACCACCTTATATACACCCAGTGAATTAAGGAAGTGTTACTTCTTGTTCTGTTTCACCTTTCTTGCTACAGGTGTTTTGAAGTTATCACCCAACAGTGATCAATGTGTTGGATATAAGGGATAAACTAACATAGATACTTCTGTTTACGTTTTGATCTCTCACTGGCATGATTTCCGAACAGCATTCAGCCAAACACGAAGTAGGTCAGCATGTAAAAAACAGACCTTAACATGGCTTATCTATGTTGAAATGAATGGCTCGGTAACTAAATATTGGCACAGCAAAAAGTAGTGCAACATAATACAATGTTAATACAAAGACTTCCAGAAAGAAAGTTACAAGCCTCCACTCATAAGCGTTTTCACATTTCACCAAAGATGACCTGATTTACTTGTTCAACTGCAAAAGACTGGAAAAGTTACACAATGGTGAAAAAAGGGATACCTTTTATTGAACATAGAAAAACAACGGCGCATAATAAATAGAGAGATTTGTACAAACAACGATGTGAGTAGGTCTGATTTTCTTTTGCACAGCAGCTAAACAAAAAGGCAGCTCCAAAGCTTGGCCATTCCGCAAAGACACATAGTCCAAGTTTAATCTGATGTGGGCTTACTTACACGTGCCTTTGCCACTTTCTCCTCCAAAATTCTGCGGCCACATGGTTGAGCTAACTTGAGGCCCGATTTAAGGCACCTAAAGAGTCAAAACATCTCTCCATTTGTAAAGGTATCAACATGAAATGAAAGAAATGTAGGAGAAGTGAGAGATTAGCATTTACAACACACAAAAACAGCTTAAAAAAAAATCCACAAATTTCCCAATTGAACGACCTCTGTACGGAAATCATATTTAATGCGCTCAGCTTGGTATGTGGGGATCAGTCTTTGGGTATTACACATCATGGCCTTTCCTAGTAAACACAGCGGACATTTTTGGGGGAGAAAAAGCCAAAAAAAAACAAAAACAAAAACAAAAAACAAAACAAAACAAAAATCTATTGGCAAAGCTCATTTTAGCCAAGCTGTCCTTTCATACCAGTAATAACTAAAACAGACAAAGCAACCAAAGAAACATGTACACACTTACACAAATAGGCCTCACTTGACCTATTAATATACAGTAGCCATCTGCTATCTCAGTAAGGCTTTTTAACCAGAGATTTGGTCCTGTGGTATCCAATACTGTACATAAAAAGAGCTGGAGAAGCAACTGTGACTGTACATCTGTCATTTATGAGAAATGATTGTCTACAGTGTATTCTGAGATAATTCCGGGGATAGCAAATATCAAAATATCCTTAGAAATAGAACAATTTAATGTAATATGTGCATCATGCCAGATTAACAACCATAACTCAATTTTTGAACACTAATTTGCATTGTCACACAGACAGGCCATCTTTAAGCTAAATATAAATCAACAAAGTGGGGGGTGTGAGTGGGATTACGCCCCTGGTAAACCAGGCAACTCTTCATTCACACATGCAATTTCTGATCTACAATGGAAGAACACCACATGGAGGGGAAAGAAAAAAAAAAAAAAAAAATTCAGCAAGCGAGCCCAGGGCAAACAAAAAAATTGATTATGTTCTAAGCAAAGAAAGTGACTCATGATTGTAATTCAGAATTGTGATGTTTGCATGTGAAAAAAGTGCATGCCATTTTCTCCGTCCCTATGGCAACAATCGGTTACCAAGGCAACAAACAGGTTGAGTAGGTGAGGGATGCATGGCCGTTGCTCTTGCTACTGCACAGTGTACTTCAGTTCCCTGTAATAGGAAATAAGGCACATTGGAAATGAGAAGCCAGTTCACATTTACTGGGGTTTCCCCCAACATTGGCAGAGAAACCCTAAGAAAATAAGGCAGTTTCCCACAGTTTCTCACTCATAAGGGGGTGGGGGCTCTTGAGGATACTCTCAGTCCACAGTGTGAGGATCCAAAACAAAAAAGAAACCCATACAAAACAAAAGTGAACCTTTCCTGAAGATCCGTCAACCAATTCGAGCACTTCAAAACAAATCCGATCTACGTTGCACATCCAGCATGGATTTAAAACAAAGTGTCACCAAGCAAATGGAATCTGGTGAGTGAGGAAGTTTTAAGTGGCAGTCAAGCATAGAACAAGAGATGAGACAGTGTGTTTAACAGTCTTTATGCCAGGAACTCCTCCTGTGCCACTGGCTTCTGGTAGCCTCCGTTAGGGTGTTTGTGTTCATCCAGCGAATAGCTACCCTCATCCTTCTTCTTCATGCGGTAGACCATAAGAGCCACGAGCATGATGGCAAAAGCCAGGCCAACCAAGCCACCTGCGATGACACCTGTGAAGATAAGACGGGAAATCAGAAGTTTATTATTATTTTAGTTTATTACAAATTATTTCTGCTGGAGGTTAAGGATTTTATACACAATGCAAGAAAATTAACAACAAATCAGTTTGTGTAACATTAAAAAAAAGCAACTATGAAAAAAACTCGAGATAAGATTTTCTAAAAAGGGAATTCAGCATAAGCTAGTTATTGAGAGTGATTTGATGTGAAAGGGTTAATTGTAAAGGACTTAAAGTACTGACTTTTACAGTAGCAGTTATTGGGACCATTGCATTCTCGATGCAAGTGTAGCCGTTTTATTTGCTATGTAAATTATCAGTGAACTCAAGTTTTTATATGTAATGTGGATAATGATAAAATTGTGATATGTCTTCTTTTGGTAATGGTTAGCCTTACAATGCCCTGCATGTACTGTAAATGCTTTTTCAAAACATGTTTTCAACGAATTCATTCTCTCAAAACTTTCATGGAATGATTTAAAAATAATTGGTAACCATTTCAAGTGATTGTTTTCTGTGAGGTAGCTTTTAGAGGAATACAACTTCAGATGTCTGCTTCCTATCAATTCTGACTCGGCAAGTTACTCTACAATTTTACATCAAAGCACTCTGAATGACTTTGTTTATGTCTTAACAAAAGATCTCCCCTTTAAGAGAGCTACAAAACAGCAATAAATGTCTAGAGAGCAAATGAACTGACTCATGCATTATGAGTGCTAAAAGACATGCAGTACATGTTTTGCTGGGGGGCAAAAACCAAACTGTAATTGCCCTGGAATGATACAGGTCTTAAGCAATACATACCTGCCAGGACCTCCGTTCTCTCCAGTAAACTCCCACCATCAGATGAGGCACCCAGAGAAGACTCAGGGAGATTTGCTCGTGAACCAGGTCTGATCTCATTTCCAAAATCAAAGTCACTATCGTCCTGTTCAAAGAAAAGCAAGTGTAAGGAAAGATGGTGTCTAAACATTAATAAAAAGTGACATTTGTTTTTATGGGAATCCTATAACTATACAAAAGAAAATGCAAGTAACTCTGTCTATATGTGCCATGAGTCACATGCATATAGCGACAATATAATAGAAAAAGGGCACCAAGTTTTTTTTTAATGATTCTTAAGGATGTCTGAACATGAGCCATTAAAACCTATTTGAACCTCATCATTCCTGTTTTTAAATGAGTAATAATTTCACAGAACACATGTATGAGTTGTAACCTTCATATATTTTAAGCTCAGTACTGATAGCGCCAAAGCCAAGAGTGTCCTCTTACCGGGATTTGTGTGTCAGTCCCACGGTTCACGTCTGGAATCATGTTTTTCTCAATAAAGCCGTCGTCAACAGTGGCCTGAATTGTTGTAGACTTCACAATATCACCTGAAGCTTCAGGATCAGCTACCTCTTTAGCTGACATTGTGGTCAGAGGCAATGGTGTGGTCTCCATGTCAGGAGCATCAGTTGATTGGTCAGCAACTACAACTGGATCTATAGTTCCATCTTCCTCCTTATCCAGCACAACATGCACTGTAGTTTCTTCCTTAACGTCAACAGGGGGAGTAGTAATAGTAGAACGTTCTGTAGTTACAGGCACCACAGGCAGCTTCTCATCTGGAAGGGTGGTAATGTCTAAGTCTACATGATGGATTGTTGTGGTTTCATCGCCAGATACTTCTTTAATATGGATAAGTGACTCAACAGAGGTTGGAGACGGCGAAGTCTCTGGTATTTTGGTGGTGTGCAGCAGAGGAGCCTTGGTGGTGGGGCCTGCTGTTTCAACATCAGCAAGGGGGATGACTTTTGAGGACAGTTGGGTGACTGTCTGTTCTGGAACTTTAACCGGAGCATCTGTGACCCAGGCTATTTTTGTTGTATTTGTGATTGCTACTGTTGACACCTTAGTGGGAATTAAGTCTTCGGGAATTTCAGAACCTGAAAATGGAAAGATCATGAAGTTAAATAAAACATAAGCAACCACAACAATCTAACACTATGACATTATTTCATATAATTAAAAAAAGAAATGTGATTTTGCGGTGTCTTAGATCACTGGTTAAGATGAGCCTGGTCACTTCAGACAAGGCTTATGTATGAAACAGTCTTGACTAAACTCCACCTTGACATCATTATTATTTTCAAGCATCCAGCCATTTCACTGTGTCCACACAACACGGTGCAGCAATAGTGTAGGCTAGCTACTTCTTTAGTCATGAACTCATTAACACAGCATAACAGTAGAGAGATTTTTGTACCTTCATCTTCTGAGCCTGACCCAGAGAGCTCCCAATCATCTCCTGATGTGTCCTCATCCTCAGGTGGAGTAGCAGAGGAAGAGTACTGCCAAGAGAGAAGAACACATTCTAATTGTCACTGGTAACATATTGTATGTGTTCTAGTTCTATAAGTCAATCTAGATTGAGCTAGTTGTCCAATGGAGGATTAGATTTGTTTGTGTTTATCATTAATTTAGAAGCTATTGATCAGTTTTAGTTTTAGGAACCCATATAATGTTATAGAATAAGCTTTTTCATGTAATCATGTGACCTTTTACCATGAACAGCTATGTTTTCCATTGGCTTTCTGTGAAAACTGCCAGTGATAAAATGAAAATGCTTTAATGTGATTTTGTTTCCATGAACATAACTTCTTATAATAAAAGTGCTTTCTGTAATGATATCATTTACTGGGGAAAAAAGTTGTTTGACATATTTTCATCACACTGAAATCTTATCTCAGAAACATAATTTCCTGTTTGTCGTAACTTGTGTAGCTTTCCCCGACTCCCCCATTACCTACTCATATATTGTTTTACATCATATTACTTTCCCGTGGGAACTGTTACACGAGAGATCATGTTTCTTTGCCATATAGAGCTGTTTGAGCACTTTACATTTACAAAGACTTCAGCTTTCCCATCTCCTTCTCAGTCCAACTACCTCTCCACCATGCTGCTGGTGTTTGTTGTAAGGGGTATGTGAGGGAAATCTGTCACATAATGATAAATTTATGCATAAATGCAATATCTTTCCAGATGGAAAAAAACTGTAGGTTTTTGCAACTTTTCAGGTATCAATCAATTTATTTGTTGGAGCTGAAAGGAAAAAAAGTTGTCTCTACATATGTAAAATATTACCAGCACTTTCTGTTTTCATAGCCTATACTGACAAACTTCTTGAAGTGTTAAACATTTTCATTAAAAAAAAAATCCTTCAGACAGTGGCATTAAAAAAATAGCTCATGCAATTTCTGGTACACAAACCTCTTGAGCAATACAGATCACAAGATTCATTAAATGGAGTGAATGGCCCAAGTCCTCTGTCCATGCAGTCCACAGAGTCCCCTGCCCTGTGACTTTATGACTCATTGCCCTGTGACCCCTCAGCCCTATTTCTGAATATGAGCTTGTGAAGGGACTCCATGGAGCCAGTCTATCTAAAGTGTTCTAGCAGCAGTTGTTCAAGTCACCTCACTAATGAGAATATTTTTAATTTTTATTCTCAGGAAGAAAATACACACACACACACACACACACACACACACACACACACACACACACAACACTAAAGAATATGCTACTTTTGGGCTATTTAGAAATAAAGAATTCTGTTAAATCTCTTATTAATATCCCTTAAATTACATGACCTGAAGGAAACTGTCTTGCTGAGCAAGATAAGGGTGATTAATTAGTTAAAACTTCAAAGTGTCACCTCATACTTTCTCAAACAAGGAAGCTGTTCAGCAGCTTTAACTGACGGTGAGAGGCAGTCAACACACAAAACACTGCAGCAAGCCAACAAGGAAGTTTAAATTCCAGTGAAGAGAGAGAGCATCAGTGCAAAATGATGTTATCATGAAAGTATTTGATGATTTAAGTAAGAAAACTATAATCACTGTTAAGCTAGCTTTTAATGAAAAATAATATCTGCAGTGAGGACACCAAATACAGTACTCACAGTTCAAGTGACAAAGAAACAGCAACATCGCTATCATTATTTCTATTGAAAATCAAGCCTCTAAACATGAAGGATGTGTAAAGAGTTGCTTGAGTTGAATCATTTAACTGTATTAGTTGTTTAGCAGTAACAGCAGGGCTGAGCTTGAGCAGGCCTCATGGTAGCAGCCACTGGCCTCAACAGGGCAAGCTATCACTTTTCACAATGCTTCAGCTCAATAGCCAATCACAATGGAGCACAGCGGCGCAGGATCATATTACAGCTGGAAAAAAGTGATTAGAGCTTTAGATGGCTTGGCTCCTCCAACAAGGTGAAAAAAGAAAAATATAAAAAGAAATCCTAAAGCTCTGTTTCATTCTGTTCTGAGGCAACCCACCACCAATCAACTTCCAAGTTTCATCGAAAACTACTTTTGTCAGCTAACAGGTGCAGTCCAGAGCCATCAGCTGTACAGACAATCAGTACCCTCATGGCACAATTAAAGGGGAATGCCACTGATTTTTCTAAATCTCTGCATAAATCATTAAGATGGAATGTGAGAACTGTTCTCAGAGGTGGTGATAGGAATCATCTGTCTGAAGAGTTTAAAGCATCTAAAAGCTACCTCAAGTTATTTATATCATATGAAATGATTATGATTATGCTGCCGGATACATAAGACATTTACAAGAGTTTTAAGATTAGGTTTGGCCTACAATTTATTTTTAGAAATATATTTATGGTGGACAGGAATACGCTGTGTGTTGTAAGGCAAAGTCTTTGGATACTAAAACTTTTATCTCCAGAATTACTATTATTTTACAATCCTTAACATTACATATGAAGAATCTGAAGACCACATGTAAGTACTCAAATGGTGCATCTGTCAGCAAAACACTCTGAATGACTTTGCTGGTATCTCAACAACTGAATTGTACAGAAACTCTGAGAAATTATTGGACTGATCTGCCATATTGTGAGCGGTTGTAGTTGAATCTTTTTCAATCCCTGGGCCTCTCATTCCAAAATCACACTGTGCTGCTGTCCTATGATTAGAAGGAGGTGCAGTTGTAACTATCCTTAACATACTTTTTTCAGTTGAGGCCATTTGGCATGGCATGTTTTCCCAATGCTGTATTTACAGAGAGCCAGTGTGGTATAGGCACATATATAGCACACTGCAAAGCTGAGAACCAGACAGGCATTTGTGTGCATGCACAGACAACCTTTTCCATTACAATGACAGAAAAGAGGCCCATTACAATTGCCATTTGATTTCTAAACGGCTCAATTCATCACTAAATTTTCATTAACGCTGAGATCCACTCCTTTCAGGGCAAGTTATTTACCTACATAATATTTACTCCCAGACTTTCTATTCTGAAAAGTAATCCAGGGTCTTCATAGCAACACAATGGCCCCTCAAAAGCACGGATATCTGACACCACTCAGCTGAACTACAGTAAATGACCGTGGTAATTCACTTGTTTACGGAGGTTTACGCTGTAGAAGAACTGCTGAGAGCATAAGGCAGCGTATAAATAGCCCAGTGCAAGTGAAGGCCACTGAACACTCACATACGTGTGATATCCCACCTCCACACTCACACAGCCCCTCTCTTCCCTGGGTTAAGCTAGGGGCTTTTTGAGGGAAGAGAAAGGAGGTTGACATTTCACACAATCTACTGATTTCCTGAGATCACTAAAGTCAGAAGAGACTTAACGTTCTGCCAAGCTACTAAACACATGGTTCTCATGAATTAAACCCAAAACACTGAAACATAGTGGAATATACAAACACAATGAACAGTGAAACAGCAGCGCTGAAGAGTTGTTTGAAGAATAACGGCATACATGTTGGCATTCCAAAAGATAAGGAAGTATCAACTTCCTCCCATACACAGTCGAGGTCAATGACCCGCTCTGGAAATACAAAGGAAAATGCACTGACTGTACACAAACAAAGCACTTTGTCTGGTACGGAAATACATATTCAAATCTTCGCAAGAAATATTCCTTTGGGCCTAATTCAAAATTAAACGCTCTTTGCTGACGATCACAGTGTGACTCTGGCTGCGTCTGGAAGCCTTCAGCCAACAAGTCTGACAGGAAGACGTTATCTTTCTCTGCTTGGTACGCTCAGCATCACTTTAATCCCCACTCTATGGCCATGACAGAGCCTCTATAAACACTGGTCTTTTGCAGGCAAGGCCTCAGAGGGAGTCCCTACCGGTTTATGTTGGAACACTGTGTTTCTCACCAAGTCTGGCCCCTTTACTCACTTAGCACATCTAAATCCGCCTTTTCTCCATTTGCTTATTAAAAAAAACTCCATCATTTGAAAGACAAGAGGCCTTATTTCAGACTAAGAAAGATCAATGTGTCGCTTAGATTTTTGTTCATAGACTCCAATAAAGCAACGGTATCTAGTTCAAGGGCTACACTGATGTCATGCGCCACACCAGGACATGCCTATGTAGCCAATGACAATGTACTTTGAACAGGGTTTGACCTTTCAGCTACTCAAAACAATGTTATGCTATTTAGAGGTTTCACAGTAAGCCACTAAATAGGCTTATTTGCATTGGCACTCAATGTAAAACCTATGAGAAAAAATCTCCAGGGTCTAATATCTTTGCTCCTAGGTCCCCTTTCTTCCCATCCCCCCCTCATTATCCCCACATAAACTGCTACAGCGGCAGACTCAGGTTCAAGGGCTGCATTGACTGGCCTAAACACTGGCACCTCTGGAATGTGTCTTATCCGAGGGGGATTGAGGTTATATTGAATACGCTGACAGGAGGCTTTCAGCACCTGCCCAGGTTGACAAGAAAGACAGAAAAGAAAAGAAAAGAAAAGAAAAGAAAAGAACGAAAAAAGAAAGAAAACGTCAGAAAGACAGAAATAAAAAAAAAGAGAGACAATGGAGACGCAAGCATGCAAGGGATGGAAGGAAGGAAAGAATGAAGGAAAGGACGGAAGAAAGGAAAGAAAGGTAGAACAAGAAAGACAGAAAGAAAAAGACAGAAAACAGAGCTAAAAGAAAAAGTCTGGTTGAGCACTAAGATGATAACAGTGAGCAAGCAAGCACAGACATTTAGCAGACATTTAGTAGCGCACTTAGCGTTGAGTGTCGTGGCCCTATTCAAAAGCCAAATCTGACTTAACAACCCGTTGATGGGGTAATTACCTGTGAAATGCCTCAAAAAAAGATGATTACTTCACATCAAGCATTTTACACACAATCACAAGTGGAGTTTACAGACATTGAAGTGATGGAGCATCTGTATATACCAATGTGTGCCAATTCTATCCCACAACTACCTCTGCCTGACAAGTCTCAACTCTTTCAGGTAGTCAAGTGTCACTAGTGTTCCAGGATAATGGCTGAAGAGAAGTGGAAAGCAGCATGATGTAATGCACACCTGTAAATGTCATGTAAGCTTAGGCCAGTGGCTCAATGAACGGCAAACTGTGCTGCCAAGAGAACGTCTTACAACAAGCTGGGTGTGACTCGGGTCCGCCAATGGACGTGCAAGTAAAGATGACTCACATTCAAAGGCCATGCTTCAACAATCATAATTTATGCTTTCGGTCATGTGACAAACAGGCCGAGACATACTGAAGACTTGCATCTGATGCTGGGATTTTCTTCAAACAAGCATATACCATGAAAAGTACATTGCCTAAGACTGTTCCCAAGTGATCTTCATGGGAGTGGATTAAAACAATGGTAAAAAAAATTATAATAAAAACAGGCCCTGAGTGGCCAGTTTTATGCAGGACAAATTCATCATCATTACTAATAATTAAAAAAAGGAAAATATTTTTATCAAATAACTAATAAACACATGAACCAACTTTACTGAGAATATTGTACTCTGTGTAATTCACAGAATTATTTTTGGAGTTTAAGTACTTCTTTGTTAAAACATTATCAAATTTACAAGGACTTTAAAAATAAGCTATACAACAAGTTTAGGTGTTAATTACTTTATAAAATGTTCTCATTTTCCTTCTGAACATACAATGAAACTATTGTGAAACTATATTACAACCTTGTGTTAATAAATAATTTGCTATTTATGACGACTGCTAGATTATGATCTGCTTTGAACATCATTTCTCAGACAACCTGCATTTGCAGCCAAGAAGCATTCATTCACTGGTAGAGGAGGATTAGCCCAATAAACAGGATTAGCAATCAGGTATCTTTAAAAAAGACTGTTAATTGAAGACTTCAATAGTAGGTAGATAGATAGGTCTCTCCAAAGAAAGTGTGAAAACAGCTCTGGTGATCCATTCACATTTCATCAGGAAGCGGTGCCATCAGACTGCTTCATTTGTTATGTAAATGAAACAAGATGGGATTACGCAGATCCACATCTTGGGGGTTGGGGATGGGGTCTCCTGAACTGCTCTTAAGCAAATATTGCAGGGATCATCATCATGGTAGTTAATTGTTGTTCTTCATAAACAGAAAAACAAAAACAAAAAAAAATCCTCCACAGAGAAAGCTGCATTAAGAATTACCTACATGCTTACAGCAAAGCTCTCAGACATTAGCTCAGTGAGACACAGCCATGTGAACAAGCCTGTAGTCAAAGCAATTAGTCTGTTATGACAGCAACCACAGCAAATCCACAACACATTGCCAGCCATTCAATCACCTTTTGACAAAAATGTGTGAATATGGTGTTGAGTACATAAATACATACATAGAATCTTGAAATAAGTTCACGAGAGACGCATAACATAGCAAAACTGCTACATAATTTAATTGCTGAGATGGAAACCAAGTCATGCAGAGTGTGTTGATGTGAAATGATACACTGTAGAGAACCTTACAGACTTTGTTTACAATGGTGGCGATAAGAACCAGGTCACATTGTCTTCTACACAAATACAGCGATGTAATTTGCTATCTGAAATGATCAGTGAACCTACATGTGTCTTCTGACGTTTTACATGCAATGTTGATAGTAATGGTTAAATAGTGGTACTTCTGGAAATGAAAAAACAAGTTTTATCTGAAAAATATATCCCAGACATCAAATAACACTCATAAACCTTGTGTGCAATAACTCGCCAGTGGCAATGAACTCTTTGGATGTCTGGTTCTTATCAACACTGTTGTGCACAATTCTGACTCACAGTTCTCTAGAACTGCATCTTTTGCCACAAACCATTCTGAATGCCTTTGCTGGAATTTCTCGTTAATATGGGTTTATTTAGTTGGAGCAAGGAGGAGGTGGGTTTAGATTCATCAGATTAGTTTCACTTTCCCATCCAGGTTCTGTTTTTGCTCTAATTATGCAGGCCAAGAGTTCAATTTGGGACTGGACAATACAAGGCACTATGGAATGGCTAGGAAAAAGAGCCATTAGTTAAAATCTGTAGTGGAAGAAACCAATCTAATCTCTCATATGCTCTCTCTTGTTATCAGAACACTACTAGAAAAACATTTTAAAAAGGCAGTACCTTCCCAGTCGCTTTCAAAGCCAATACTAGAGAGGCTAGAAAACCAAACACGCAAAGAGAACATGACAGATGGGGGGAACTAATGGCCGGAATAATGGACTGACTAACTGGGTGTGTTCAGCCTTTACATTTCTGTGTGTTTGCTGGCAGACAGCACCTGGTACCATACTTGGTGTTAAAACGCACAGCGCACAGCTACTGTACGTCACGAAAGCCTAGCTGAACACAGACTTAAGGAAATGGCCTGTAAAACAGGAGATGGAAGCTAGTTCCTGTTTTTCCCAGTAAAGAACACCATATACCTTCTCCTCTGCATTGTAGACTAAATTACAGAACGCAGAGGCGAGCAGGACAAAAGGCCAAGAATGACTTAGCCAAAGACATCAGAATAAGGGCTTCTTGAATTGCTGTACGGTAACTGAAGTAAGAAACCAACCAAATTGGTCTCCAAATCTATACATAGTGCCTGGCTCTTCCCATAAAAATGTGCGTACCATAATTACGTTCCCCTGCAACTATGATGGGATGGTATGTAGCAGGGCTATTTGTACAAATCTGAGTGCAGTCAGCACAAACTAAAAGCTTGTTTAGACATTATATCTCGGAGTTAAGAGCTGGAACAGCCTTGCATTCTGGGATAATTAAGGCCTGGCTGAAAGTACAACTATCAATAAATGGCCTCAAGCCGCACAAACTTTCCACTTCAGCATTCCTGACCTGGCAGTCATTTGGGAACGTTTGCAAGGTGAGAAACGTGACTCCTCTCTCACCAGTTGTGGAGAGGAACTTGGAAATCAGTCAAATCAAAACGTTCACTCTGCAACAGCATCTCAGCTCATTCCCATGGAGATTTATGATAACAGTAGCATTCAGCAGACCCACGCATATATCTGACGCGGAGGCACTCGCATGTGCACAGCAAAGTGGCTGGAGGAACAAGAAGGTGTGTGAGATCTATGGGGGAGGTCAACATGGCATTCGTTTGACGATAAGAGACTATGTAAAACAAAAGTGACACAAGTTTAAACGAGTTTGAACAAAGTCACAGATTTTTGTGGAGTGGGGCCTTCTGCTAACTGATCTGATGATAAGCTGTGCCATACTAGGTAGACTAAGCAAGTCTGCCAGTCTGGATCATGTGCGCTGGGTAAAAGGGGTCCGAATCATGTTTAGTCTACGATTTAAAAAATACCCATCACTAAGATACTGGAATTACACGCCGGCTGAAGTACTCCAGTTGTGTTTCTCATTTTAAACATGATAAAACCTGACATTTCTGAGTACAAAAATGGACAAAAATAGAATAGCAATCGTTATTTCAAGCACACAGTAATCCTTTAGCTGTCTCAAGCTCTCTTTGTGGAGAAAAAAAGATCAATTTTTTTCACCCGCCTCTCAGAAACACACCTCAGGCTAGGCTACTGATCGCTATCATTCAGACCATTCTGACTGACTGAGGCAGAACGTGTTTCAGACTCACCGACTGAGCAGCAGGTATCCACAGGCAGAGGCAAACAAGAAGCGCAGCTATGGACTCAATCCTCATTTTCAAGCAGCAGGAACCGACCGGCGTCGTTTCAGGTTGATTTCACACGACTGAAAATGTACTGCACGCGCCAACAAGCCGTCCAGCTCCGCCAACTGTATGAAAGACCGCCGGTAGAGGCTCATAAGGAGAGACTCGGTGAAAAGACTCGAGGCTCCGCCCTCCTCCACGGTTGGGCCAAGGTGAGTTCAGGCTCCGCCCAAGCACCAAATTTGGCCACTTCCCCTAGCAGGCAAGCCAACTCGGACTCTGACGTATAAGCGCAAATGAAGGGTTTAATTACAAAACGCATTATTAAATAAATAAATAAATAAAAAAGCTTTAAAGACCAAGCACTTTTTCATGATACACGTTTTTAGAAATGCAGTTTACACAAGAAATGTCAGTGCTATATTATGATTAATACCACCTTAATATGAGAAATTAACTTTTACATATTTTACATTATAAGACTGCTGTTGTTTTTACAAATACGTTATATCCAAAACTGTAGTGGATGTACAGAAATTTTTAATGAAACTCCATATATAAACATATAAACATCATACATATTTAAATATATCTGAAAGAAATTTAAATAAAAAGTACTTTCAGTGCAGACTTTACTTACCACTGTATGTTTTAACCTTTTTAAATCCAGACAGACTGGAATTCATAAGATGACTATGTAACTATTTCCAGATTTAAGTCATAGCTGCTTACATTTATAAGTAAAATATGTAAAATAAACAAGTAATACAATTGAACCTCAGTCACAGAGCCATGGAACAGTGACAATATGTCCTGCCAAGTATGTAATAAAAGTTATATCTTTCATATATGTTATGAACTATGTGTTATCGGACAAGTAGAAAAAAGATCACACAGCCAGTTTTGATAGTGTCCGCAAAACTTTAACCAGCACCAATTGGTTATTCACAACAAAAGCGGATTTCTGAACAATTTGTCCAGTTCAGATGTCCACTGAGACTTTTGGGCTTAGGTCTGGGCTGAATCTCATATGGCTGCCTTCTGGACATCTAGGGGAAATAGTGCAAATGGTTGGGGGTGAAAGTCCTTATGTTGTGACCTAGTACGCTACACAGGGCATAGTGACCATTTGAGGCTGGCATTCATATTCAAAACTATACAAAATATGCAGAGCACACTTTCATTTATTTAGTTCCCAATCAAAACAGCCATTAAGTAGGTTTTCAGCAGAAAATATATATTTAACAGAAATTACACAGAATTGGACTCTGGGCTGCTCAGTCCACTGTTCTCAGAACACCAGCAGCTTCTTTGTAGAATTTGCAAGTGTTCGTCTTTTTTGTCTATTTCCTTTTCTCAGTAGCAGCTTCTTGACAGCTACAAATCCTTTCAGACTCATAGTGTTGAGTTGTCTTCTCACAGTGGAAGGATGGACAGAAACACCTGTGGATTATTTCAGATCTGAAGTAAGAGTGGAGCTTGATTTTCTCCTCTCTCTCAAATATTTAAGCTTTAAGTACTGTTTATCTGATGGTGACGGGTTTGGTCAGAGCCAGTCCTGACCTCCCTGGGGCTCTAAGCAAAATTCTGCAAAAGGGGCCCTCCTTCCTGTCCTATGAGCCATATAAACCATTTGCAATTGCCACACAGTCACACCTGACAGCCTAATGCTCCTACTACAATCCTCCATCCTTTAAAACAGTTTGCTCCATGTGTCGGTCTAAGAGTAAGTAGAAGTATTATATTATTAATTTTATCAACTGCATCAGGCAAATTGAAAGTGGCTCCCTGATTTCCTTTTATATATTTTCAAATATAATATACTATTTGTACTATGGCTTGGCTGAATACTTGACGGTCATTATCACACCTCGTTAATCAACATTTTAAATTCAATATTTAATCAACAGTCAATGTCAATTCATTGCTTTCAATTTTGCATTAGTCCAGAGTTGTAACTAAACCTTGACAGACAGACTAGATAATCATTGTTTTGTTTTAAAGTGATGTGCTCCTATGAGGAGTGTGCCATCACACCCATAAATTGTCTGGAGTGGACTGGTTTCATTTCGTGCATGCGCATATGAACACGTTTATACGCAACATCGTTATCTTTTCTGAACTGCGGTTTGTAAGCACCATTGCCTACAGCACCGTGGCGTTCACAAATGTTTTGTCCAGAACCAGCTGGTTCCGAGACAGTTTCTTCCCCCTGGGCCATCAGGCTGCTGAACAGCCAGTAGTGCTGGTGTATCGGTCTGTAGGCCTGTCACTGCACCTCTGACTGTCTGTCACTGCACCTCTGAGTCATCATCTCCAGGGACAATCTACACCTCATCCAAATCTCATCAGACTCACTCTGATCCTCTGCACCTTTAATCTAGCAAATCTGTACTTACACATACAGATTGACATCTTGTACATGTCATATCCATATCTTATATAATCTGGAAGATTTCTATATCAGTATTCTATCCCTGTGTACGTACATCTCATTTATTTATCTACCTCAGACTAACTGCACATATGGAAATGTGTACAACAGTCCATTTCATAGTCTTTTTTCATAATTCATTACTGTACAACTGTACATTGGAATAGTGCAATACTAGTGTATATTGTGTATATGTGTATATTCAGAGTCGGTACATATATCTATATATATATATATATATTTATATATTTCTTTTTCTTCTTAGATATTTATATTTTTTGTACTTTAATTCTACAAGGGAGCTACGCACCTAAGATTTTCATTCACTTTCCACCTGTGTGAATGTGATGTGACAATAAACGTAATTTGGTTTGATTTGATTTGATTTGAAATGTATTAAGCAGTTGTATTTCATGCTTACATTTTCCAGTCACAGAACGCAGCTGTGGAAGTAGCTAACAAGACAGACAGACCAAGAGATGGACTGCCCTGCTAGGTTAGTGATACAGACAGACTAGAGAGAGATGCACTGCCCAGCTAGGTTAGCAAGGCAGACAGACTAGTGAGAGAGATGCACTGCCCAGGTAGGTTAGCAAGGCAGACAGACTAGTGATAGAGATGCACTGCCCAGCTAGGTTAGCAAGGCAGATAGACTAGAGAGAGACGCACTGCCCAGCTAGGTTAGCAAGGCAGACAGACTAGTGAGAGAGACGCACTGCCCAGCTAGGTTAGCAACACAGACAGAGAGAGACGCTGTGCCCAGCTAGGATATCAACTTTCATTTAAAATAATGTTACTGTTATTTGCTGACATCAAACTCGGAGAGGAAGGAACACAAGTTTACCTGATTGTTGTTCTCACAATTCACTCTCATGTTTTTTTTCTTTTTGTTTTTGTGACCAGAAAGATAGTTCCGCTTCATCCTCTCATCAAAGAGGTAAACAATACACAGCTTTGTCCCTTGCATAAGTGGCAGGGCCCCAGGCAATGTGCGCAGTGAGCGTATAGGGCCAACCGGTTTTGGTTTTGGTGGTCTACCATGGTTGTTAGGACCCCCATTTTCCCTGTATGTCTAAATCATTTTTTGAACTCCGGTTTTGGAAACTTCTTTTGACTTTCTCATTTTCATATGCAGGGGGATTTTCTTATATCCAATCTCCACAGACATATCTTAATGTTTCTTATCATGTACTTAATGGCTGTTTTGACTGGAAATGAAATAAAAGTCTCTGAAATGTGCACAGTACTGTCAATTTCTTTCTTGTAAATAATTTGCAAATTCAACATTCACAAATTACATAACATGCAAAATAAAAGGAGGAACCTATCTCCAAGTGCAAATTCCCATTTGCAAACATGTACACTGCCTTATATAGGTATGTAACACATGAGCAGTTAAATTATTAGTATGTATTGTAAATATGGGACACAAGTAGATAACTTCACATTCAAAGTTCCTTTCAGTTTTATCAGTGAATTGTGTTGCACTGCCCAGCTGAATAAACTGAATAAATGGTGACATGGTAAGCAAAACGTTACATTCCTTCTGTGCAAATCTAACAAAAGTATGAAAATGTTTCATTCATATTAACTCATAACTATTTTAAAAACATCCAGTCTATCAAAGTTGCCTACGTATAATTCACTTGAAAACTGTTTTGAGTCATGGGTCTGTAATAGTGCCCAGTGACCTTTTTTCGAGTCCAGTGAGCTTTTTATTTGATTGAGAGCTCTCACCAGAGTTCTTGAAGAAGGAGCATTGAAAATATACTCAACCATGGGAAAAAAGAAAAACACTGACACAATCTTAAAAATAAAAGCTTCTGAATGATTGTTGGCTTGAGTATACACTGTTAGAAATAAAGGTTCTGTGCAGGTACATTTTTCATTCATCAAGGTACAAACAATGTAAATGTTCCCTCAGTGTACAACAGTGGTTTTAAGATCCAGTTGTGTACCTTAAGAAAGTTTTTCCAGGTGAAAAGTACGTACACCAATCAGGCATAACATTATGACCACCTTTATCAGCTCCACTTACTATATAGGTGCACTTTGTAGTTCTACAACTACAGACTTGAATCATTCTCAGCACTGAAGTAACACTGACGTGGTGGTGGTGGTGTTAGTGTGTGTAAATAAGTTTGATTTAACTCAAATTGTTTGTTATTGCACCTAGAAGGATAAGCGGTTTAGATGATGGATGGATGGATGGATGGATGGTTTGATGGATGTTTGTTATTGCAACATATTTTGGAGACTTTGATAATTAACATTTTGCTTGTGGATTTTATTATTTTATTCAAATCTTTGTGCACAAAATTAACTCTGTACAATTCCACACAATAATCTTGATTCCAAAAACAAAGACATATAGAAGTACATCTGGCAAAATAAAGAGTACAATACCTTACCTTGGAGAGCTAATGCTAGCTAAATGAACTGAGCTCACTAATATGAGTTGGTTAAGTTATACCTGATTCTCCTGTCAACTTCTTCAGGTGGATAGATGTTTTGGCGCTGGCAGTGTGGTTTGATTGTAAGCCAGCTTTTAGATACAGATATTGGGTTTTTACTTTCATTTCCACTTTGTATAAAGTAAAATATGATGGCCTATTGATGTGTGAGTTGTGGAAAGATTTTTGTTTTTCTTACAGATGTTCTTCGTTCAAAACCACATTCTACCATACTAAATAGTACTCCGTTCATTGCTTTAGTATATACAGTATAGCATCAG